GGCGGCTGCCAGCTCACCTGGTGTGCCCACGCCGTGGGCGGCGCCCCGACGTTCTGCTGCAGGATAGTCGCCGCCGATGAGCTCCCGGGGCCCGTCGGTGGAGGCGGCGTGGTTGATGCCATCGGCGATGTCCTGGGACCCGTCGAGCTGGGCGTCATAGATCCAAGTCCCGGCGTTGCAGAGGTGGTCGGCGGCGGCCTTGGAGCTGCCTTCACAATCACCGGCGTCCCCTCCGTCGTGGCCCTCTGCGGGAACAGCCTCCCCATGTAGACCCGGCGTTCCTCGTCGGTGGGTGGGGAAGTCGGTGGAACCACAGCCGTCACGGCGAGGAGCTCGGCGAGTGAGGTCCGGTCCTCCATGTCCAGGCTCGCCGCCAGTTCCGCCCATGCGCCGAATCCACCGTCGCGTCCCTTCCGAAGGACGTTGCGAAGCTCTCGGACTGCGACGTGGACACCAGCTTCCGGCGCAGCCGTCGTCAAAGGCCGCTGCGGCGGCGCCTTCCTAGGCATCTGCTGCGCCGAAGACGAGGCGGCCACTGGAGTAGTCGACATGGCGTCGAGAGTGATCAGAAAGCTAAAACTTTGAACTCGTCGAGCCAGAGTGCTAGCGACGGCCGTCGTTAACGGTTGTTACTGCACACACACGTGTGTTTCACCACAAGCCGTCACCTTGCCCGAGCCCTAGTCTACGAGAGCCAGGCAGGGCTCCCAGTTCGGCATCCGCCATGGAGACCGTTGCAGCTGAGGCCGCGACCCGCATCGTTTTTGAAGTCCTGAGCAAAGCGCGACGTTGCCATGAGCCAACAGTCTATCGAACCAACGGAAGAGCCCAGGAGTAAGGCGGCTGAGAGAGCAGGAGACGAGCTTCTCAAAACCTGGCAACTGAACCCCGGCCTTGTACTGCTCGTGCAGGTCGAGCAAGAGCTCCAGAGACCCGGGCTTCTCCGCTGCAACTTCTAAGGCGACGTCCAAGGCGGTCTTGTCGTTCTCCTTCAACCAAATGTCCGCCTTGCAGGGTGGGGACCCTGATGCAGAACGCCATCGAGCAGGGATCCTTATTCATAAGTAAGGTACCACCAATTCCTGAATGTCAGCCTTGTACGTGAGGAGCTGCCTGGCCGCGGCCGTGTGGCCTTTTGCCAGCGCCCGGTGGAGCGCGTGCTTCCCGTCGTTCGTGGCGCTGTTTGGGTTCGCCCAGTTGCGTAGATGCTCCACGACCTTCTGCACATTGTCGTCGTAAGCCCTCAGCTCCCCGCTGCGACAACATCACTCAGCAGATTCCATTCGCCTGATCCCGAACCGGCCCGTGTGAACAAGAAGGCCCTGTTGGAGTCAAAGCAGAGCAACTGAGCCGCAGACGCATTGACGAGCTCCGAGCTGTTCTTCAGGAGTTTTCGCACTACCTCGCCGAACTCCTCCTTGGCACGCCGCAGCTCCTGTGGCCATAGCTCCAGAAGCCCTGAAGCTAGCAAGACTCCCCTCCTCTTGCTCAGCGCTCTGCCCATCAGTGCTGCTTAAGACATGTTGGCCCAAGTATGGGAGTTTGTGGTCCTTATAATAAGGATCCTACTATTTAGGGTATTAAAAAAAGGGTCCCCTATTTTCGGAAACTCCCGTATCTTGACGTGGTGCCAGGCCTCTAGTCCCAACCTCTGCGACAACATGGAGACGCACCTGCACGAAGCACTTTAGGGTTTAGGGTTTAGGGTTTAGGGTTTAGGGTTTAGGGTTTAGGGTTTAGGGTTTATGTTAGGGCAACTGAGCCAAGAGCGGACGAAGTCTCGCAATGTAACGGAATCATGGGTGGATGATGGCTTCTGACCATCTGAACTGCTGCGGGGATTGAAGTGCGCATCGAGGCCAGCCTCGCCACGACCTCGCTCTCGGGGTACACGCGCTGGCGCAAAAGTCCTCGAGCGGTACATGGAACTGCCTTCTAGACATGGGCTCATTCTTCGTTGAGAAATTGGCTTTGTAGGACTCCTAATGTACCCACACTGCCTGGTTTAAGGACGAGGGGACATCGCTTGTCCAAATCTTTGTGGCTCCATGACGACGGACGCACAACAGAAAACCTAAAGTTCTCGTGTGCGGTGCCTTACACAGCAGACCTTCCTTGCTCCCGTCAAGCAGCCCCTGACCCGCTCAAGAGAAGGACATGCTTCCTCGTTCATGCACTTACGATCACGTCATGAGATCGTGAAGGATCGTTGTAGACAAGTCTCCGAGCAAGAGGGGCGTCTGCCCTTTTGCATCCTTGACGTCTTGCTTCGCACCCGCCGAGATGAGGGCCCATGCTGCACAGGCGTGGCCCTGGCTCATCGCCTGCGAGGTGCAGAACACGAGCCCTTCGAGGATCTTCGGGGGACCGTTTCGACAGCTCCTTCATCAGGAGTCCTCTACTGCTCTAATTTCAGATAAAGGGCCTCGTGCAGGGCCGTGCGCTGAGTGGTCTCCTCCCTGAGGTTTACATCCGCTCCCTTCTGAAGAAAGAGCTTCCTCAGCAACAGGCGTGGAGCCACCAAGAGGCTTCAGCCCAGACTGAAAAGCGTGCAACGTTCCCCACGATTGCTTGGCATCTTAATGCTACTGGCTTCGGAAGGGGACATGGGCCCTTATGTAGCGACTTGCTTGCAGCCTTTGCTTGATCACCCTTGTGGCCAAGGGTCTGCTAAGTTGTTCAACATGCCACCGAAAGCGACAACTGAAACGAGCCAAGATCAGTCAGGCTGCACCATGCGGGAGTTGCCAAGCGCAGCTGCCTTGTGGAGCAAAGGCTTCTTGTTCTCCTGCAGGACAGCCTGTCCAGGATGCAGTCCAATCCCGGTGACTGCACGGCGCACTTCAGCAGGCACGTCTTCATCATCGATTCATCGAACTGAATCTCTTAATGTTCTTAAAGGCTTGGAGAGAGTTCTGGTGTGTGATCGCTCTGCCTTCGTCACAGCTAGCACATTCAATAGTCGCCAGAATTGGCAACAGTTTGCACGCTGTGATAAACACAATTGCCTCAGCGTCCTTGTCAGCCCAGTCGAGTGTTTTCTGACACTCGAGCTCGTTGTTGGCAGCTACATCGGCAATGAGCTGTCTTTTGATCTCGAACACTCTGTGTCCACTCGACTCCTGGCACAAACAAATCCCAGGCAATGCTACTTCTGGCTTTGCAATAACAGTCTGAGTGCAGAGGCCTTGACGAAGAGCATGTACTTAGTTGTAAGTTGCAGCTCGCAAACCAGCTCACCTGTGGCACAACGAAAGCTAAGGCCTGTCATCTACAACATTCTCTAACTCTTCATGAACCTTCGCTCAAAAAGGATGCCTTGCACCCGAAGTGTGAGTTGCAGGTCACGGTATCCACCGTCCAACGGAGTCTGATACCTGCTTCGCAGACCCTCGAGCGAAACGCACTCACAAGACACCAAAAGCTACCTTGAGAAACAAACTGGGATCGTGGCCGGTCATTGAACTCCACGATTTCAACGCTAGTGTCCTTGCCAGGCGCGACACGTACACTTTCAACAAGTGAGCACCCCGGCAGCCGCGTGTCCTCTTCTATGAGCTTTAGTCCCTTGTACATGTCTTCTAAGTTCTCGTAGCTCAGCGTGTCTCGAACGATGTCGGTGAGTCTGTGCCTGGCACTGATCGCAGAGCACAAGGAACATGTCACCGGTGTTAGATGGCTTTGTGCTTCGGCGTTCGTGACGGCAGGGGGTCGACCAAGTGCAGTCGCTTTCATCTGCAACACAAGTTTCGCTTGACAAACGTTCCGATGGTGCACTCAGCACAACCAGTCTCGCCGTGGGCAACCCGATTCTTGATAAAAATCAGCTGCTCTTTCAAACATCGCTTTGCCGCTCGACCGTCAACATTTCCTGTCAAGACCAGCTATGTGAGAAATTCGCATCTTTTGGCAGAAACAGTTCCTGCCCAGTTTCCGGCCGCATGGCTGATTTTCGGTTGAAACACAGTCTTTGGTCACCAGGACTGGTTCTGAGATCAAATGGCACTTTCGCAGACGGCAGAACCTTGGTGTGGTTTGCCCCTGCCCTCTTGTTCTGCACACGCATCTAAACATCCCCGCTTCAAGAAAAGGTCACTGTCTCACGGCAGGCCGGCAGCACCACTCAATGTTACCGGAGCTGTCCATGTACTTAAACCTCGCCTTGGACTCGCAGCCTCAGGTTCGTGCGGCTGTAACCTAGACTCTAGACCTGCGGAACCTACCCTTACTGATATGTTCGGAGCAGTGCAACGGGCAAGTCGAGCAGCGTTCTTTCCCTTTCAGTGGGGGCTTTGCGCAGGTACCGTTGGTGTCGTGCGCAACCCTGTCGACAAGGTCGAAGAAGCTTTGCTTGTGAGCGTGCGCAAAGTCGAAGAGCTCATCCAGCGTGGCGAAGAAGGGTTGGAAGTTTACCTGGCCCAGGCCAATGGTTAAGTGGCTTTCGGGCCCAAGGTGAAAAAACCGCGCCCGAAAGCTTCCACCAGGATCCTCAAGGTCCTCCCCCGGTCCCCGGCAACGGCAGCACGTGGGCGCCTTGATGCTGCGCGCGGCGCGGTCACCGGCAGAAATCACGCCTCTCTGCTCCTCGTGCAAGCCGTGCTTTTCCTGCAGCTTGTTGCCTGACTTTTCTGTGACGCGACAGGGGGCTCGGGAATTCCTAAGCTTGGAGGCCAGGTCTTCGGCAGCACAACAGGGTCGTCCAGCTGACGTGCAACCGAGGCACTGAAGTCCTGAAAGCTCCTCAGCTTTTCCTCTCCTCCGGAGATTTCCAAGGCCTTCTTGTACTTGGCCTCTGCATCGACTTCTCCATCCAGTAGTTCGATCTTCTCGTCGTACTTGGAGTCCGCGAGGCCGAACTGTTCAAAGGGAAACACTCAAGAGAGCTGACATGGCACGACGCTAAACGCACGAGGCAAGAGGCAGCAACTGAAAGTGGTGGCATCTGCGCATGGCTTCGGGATCAGATCCAGCTGCAGCGAGGCTGCCACTGAGCTTGCGGCCTTCTCACGGAGGGACAACTTCGGTGCATGGTCCGCCTTCGGAGCCTCTGCAGGCTGTGCATTTTGGCAAAAACGACAAAATACTTACTCAAGCCCATATCTTCATACTTTTGTGTCTTTCGATCCATCTATCGGTGAAAGATCTCAGGCGATGCCGTGCCCATTGCAGCAGTGCTGTTGAGTTCACTGTCTCGATCGACCTTGCAAATCTCGGTGCTGGGTGCTCCGCAACACAGCAGTGCGCTGCAAGGTGCAACGAGGACCGGCCAGTGCCACCATCAAAGCTTCAATGTGAATAAAGCTTTGCTCATGATGTCTCAAGGCTTCCCATTTTGCGATGCATTTGGCAGCCTACCCGCTTCGGGGCGTGCTTTGTGCGGCGCAGACGGAACTGCCCTAGTAACATGCGGCCTGTGTGGCACCCTTGGAGCCGATGTCCTGCTCCTGCAGCAAATTGGCTGCGCAGGCTGGGATTGCGACGAGGTTCAACATCACCAGAGCCTCCAGCGCATGGGAAGCTCGCTTGGCGGTGCCTCAAGAGCGAGGCACACAGGACCACTTCTGTCGGCTAGCTATCTTTTCTGGTGTCTGCCACTGCCTTTGTCGTGCGGCAACAACAACCCCCCTGGCGATGTGCATCCATGCCACCGGCAGCCACTTTCTGAACGGTGGAGTTCACAAGTTTCGTCCTTAGCAATTATGAGTGTACAGTCGCCAAGGACAACAAAGCTGAAGCACGAATCCATGCCCCAACACTACTTCCGTCGAACGCCTGGGAACTGACCTGGCTCCTATACCGCAACTGCACCTTTTCAACCATGCTGCATAGAGGTTCATGCCAAGGTTGCGGCATGCGTGCTTCCAGCTGCTCGCCCAAGAGCTCAACCTAACGAGCAGACGCACACAATCACGAAGCAGCACGCAATCTTGTGCACGAGATTCATCAACAGAAGCCTGGCCTTCTTCTCAATTTGCTCCAAAAGCCGCGCCTCTGGCAACACTCTCCGCTCTGCATGATAGTAGCTGGACATCTGCTCCTTCCCTACCATCCAGCGACCGCTCACAACAAGCATCCGCTGCCAAATCTTGCAATCACTGCACGACCATAAAGCCTTAACCAGAACCCCAAAACCGGAAATCATAAAGCCTCAACCCTCCACCCTAAACCCTCAACCCTAAGCCCTAAAGCCTCAACCCTCCACCCTTAACCCTCGACCCTAAGCCCCAAACCCATCCCTACAGTGCTGACGACTCCGACTCGCCTGCAGGGCCTCTAGAGATCTCGTCAAATCCGCCGGCTCGCCACCTCGGCCCGGCTGTTGAAGGGCTTTGGGCTCAGGGCTCGGGGCTTAAGTTTAGGGTTTAGGGTTTAGGGTGTAGGGTTTTAGGGTTTAGGATTTAGGGCTCAGGGCTTAGGGCTTCAGGGCTTCTGAGGTGTTTTAAGCACCCTTTTTTTCATCTGCAGATTCAGGTTCTTGAGGTTTGGGGTTGGGTTGGGGTTTCTGGTCCTGATGGTACTGCGTGCTAGTATGAATGTAGGCTTGACGGCCCCTGTGTATTGCAACATGGCACTGCTGCTCGTGAAAACAAGAGCCCATAATGGAGGAAGCCTCTTGAATCCAGAACTTGCATCCAAGGCTTTTCCAGGCTCTTCCACTGGCCAAAGTAAACACTTCGCAGCATTGACCCAAATAGAGTCCTTGATTGCCCTCCTAGTCTCCCTACGCAGCCCTTGCCTAGACTGCTCCTGTCTCAGGTGCCAGCGCATCGTGCCCACTTCGGAGGTCAACTGAAGATGCGCCTTCACTCGCCCTAAAGGTCTGCAGCTTGTGCAACCCAGACTCTACTCGAGGAGAAGGGCACGACGCGACAACGACATCAAGCGAGTGCAGTTAGCTTGATGATCTTGCAGTGTCCTGAACCTCAAAACGAAGCACTCCTCGAAGCATGCATGCGGAGAGGGACCCCCCCTCGAGGCCTGCAGCTCCTGCGCAGTTGGGGCTCTGGGCACCTCATCAATTCTTTGGTATCTCTATGGGCACCCTTTACTGCTCCCTAGCTCTTTCCCCTCTTCATCGCAAGCTCCAAAACAGCTAGTAGAATGGCGAAGATTCAAAACCCGAGATCGGACGCTGCAGCAGCATAATGCACTTGAAAGCTGTGGTCCAGCCATCGGATTAGAACAGCACAAGAGAGATGGCGAGGGGCAGAGAGAGATAGACAGGCCGGTCTTAATGCACCGACATGCAAGGTCAAGTCTTTGAGCATCAACCCAAAGCAGGACCTGTTCTTGAATTGTGTCCGGCGTGCTGTGCAAGGAAGCGCGAGACAGAGGCTGCTCAGAGGCTACTCTAGACTCTGCTTTACAATGTGTGATAACCTCCTGGGGAGAGGTGAGGGGCGAAAGAACACCTCCAGACATCAAAGGCAGAGTTGCGCCGGGGTTGAGCCGAGCGACTCCCTTTTTCTCAGGATCCCTTGCAATCCCTAAGCCTCAAACCCTAAACTAATCCTCAGGCCCTAAGCCCTAAACCTCAAACCCTAAACCTAAACCCCAAAGCCTCAAGCCCTAAACCCTGAACCTCACAACCCCTAAACCTCAAACCCTAAACCTAAACCCCAAAACCCCAAGCCCTAAACCCTGAACCTCACAAGCCCTAAACCCCCAAACCTCAAGCCGTAAGCCCTAATCCTCAAGCCCTCAACCCTGAACCTCACCAGCCCTAAGCCCCAAGCCCTAATCCTCAAGCCCTAAACCCTAAACCTCAGAAGCCCAAATCCCAAACCTCAAGCCCTAAGCCCTAATCCTCAAGCCCTAAACCCTGAACTTTGAGCAGTTGGCTTGGGCTCAGTTAAGGTTCCTAAATTTTTGGTTTGGTTTAGGGCTTGAAGCTCTTAGTTTCCGGTTTAGGGCTTCGGCTTTAGGGCTCAAAAGTTAGCGTAGGGCTTCGAGTTTCGGGTTTAGGGTTTTAGGGCTTATGGCGTTTGGGGTTCAGGGTTTTGGGCTGGGGTGCAAAACTGCAGCCCGATCCGGTTGGTGTTGGCCTGGGCGGTCCATGACGACGGCCCCGATTCTGCAGGCTTAGGGTTTAGGGTTTAGGGTTTAGGGTTTAGGGTTTAGGATCACAGCGGTGAGAGAGATCGGTTGGAAGTCTCTGCTGTGCCTGGGGAAAGGCTAATCTCACTACTGCTGCTCAGGTGGAAGCTTCCAGTGGCGTCGTCCACCATGAATCAATGAAAGTCTTCCTTTTTTGATGACAGCTACATATCTCTCTACAATCGACAGGAGCTCTATAACTTCATCGACAATCCCCTCTAGAAGCCCTCCAGAACCCCACGGGGAGAGATAGGATACAGAACCCTGAACAAAGAAGGATCAAGACCGCGAAATCTCGAAAGGTCAGGGATTAATTAAGGTTCAGGCTTCTTCGGCTGCGAGTCGGGGAATTGGTTTGGCTAGGGATTCTGGGAACTCCAGGTTCATGTTTACGCTTTTGGCGCATGCCGATGATGCTTAGCATCAGTGCTGCCGCCACAAAGACGGCTCATGTCTCGTGGAACGAAGTCACACAGGTCTCAGGCTGACGAGACGCGGAGAATCGCAGCATGACGTCTCATCTGTAGTTGAAGCCCTCAAGTTCATAAAACCACATGTTGCACTGGCTCACATGGATTCAGGCCGCTCCGTGCTGTGCTTCCACGATGGTGCCATGCCCGATAGATGCGCGACACGAGGAGGGGGTTTCGGAACAGTGTCGGTGATAAATTGAGAACCCTAAACCCTTAAGCCAAGAGCCTAAACCAGAAATCCTGAACCCCTAAGCCTAAACCCTAAACCTAACAGAGGCTCAGAGCCGTGCCGAGACTTTGCTCACGGAGTCTGGGCGCACAAAGAGCCCATGCCTGCCAGGATAAAGCGGTGTGGGAAAGATTGGGGCAGGAGTCTTCTTCGGTCAGTCCGAGAGAAGCAAGCAATCTCTGCACGATTTCGATGAAGCAACTACTGTGAAATGCTGTCCGGGCCACCCTGGGTCACATTTGAAGTACGTCCTGCCCTTCACGCTGCCGTTGTGCTTGCCGACCTGGCCGAAGCATCCTTCACGTCATGAGCGACTGTAATTGACAGTAATACCCACAATGACATGCGGTGACTATCTGAGCTGGAAGTCTGCACACCCGTGCTCAAGCACTGCATCTATGACAGACCCTATGTGTGGTCTGAGGCTTGTGTCATCTTCTGTTATCTTCGCGGGGAGTGAGATTGCCGAGGTATCTCAGGCCTTCTGGTCCAGCTCCACGCCGAGCCATTCCTGAGTTGTCTTCTCACACATACATGAGCCTGTCAAGTGAGTACACGTGCATCCTGCCACATGTCGGCGCAATGTATGCATGCAAGTAATTAGGCATGCGGAGGCATGTGCAGATATGCATATTATAAACTGGTACATATAAACACACGTCGCCATGCACATGCACAAGCAAATGCATGTGTGGATGTGTGTGTGTGTGTGTATGTGTGTATGTATGTGTATGTGTATATATATATATATATATAGATAAATAGATTCATAGATAGATAGTGGGCCTTTTGAAAGCAGGGGAAGCCACTCATACACTCAGCAGCATCCCAAATTACAAGCAGAGGCAAGCACCCGAGACCATACAAACCCCAACCCACCAACAAAGACCAGTGCCAAGCAAAACCAAAACAACTCAGATCTAGCATGCTGTCGATACTCGTATTGCCTGGATTGCTAGTAGGACGAGAACTTGCTGACTGTAAACCTTTCCATGTTTGTATCGTTGGCACTCATGCTTTACACATGAACTGGCTGCGACAAATTCTTGGGTAAGTTGCCGCCTTCGTATCGCTGATTATGATCAACGAGTCCAATCCTGCAACGTGGCTCGTTTGTCATGTGGCTACTGGTCTGAACAACGCTGCCAGGATTGCAGAAGCCTTCGTACACATGACCCGGACAAAGAAATTGAACTTAGGAGAAGGATCATCTACACCGATGCGAGCCAATGACGGTCCATGCGATAGTCATGATGCCAAGCATCCCCCAACAATCGTGACGTCAAACAGTTGAGGGTCGAAGAACTTCGTCGCTTCAGAACCCGGCATGTCAACCCGAAGCCGGGACCCAGAAAACAAGATTCGCAGCTCTGTTGATCGTCTGTTCTTTGTCGCGAGGCGTCGGCCGCATCGGAAACGCCATCTGAACTGCATGAACACATACGATATTTTCGTCCGGACGCGAAACCAATTCTCGCATGGGCTCTTGGCTTTTGACTTCTGTGGCCGCGGCATGTAGTTTTCCATCTATGCAATCGCTTGAAACGCACCCGGTTCCCCAAGTTGAGAAGCAAACGGTGATGCAAGTCTGTGCTCATCGTTTATGTAGGTATCTTGTGCAGGGGTCATCTTGGGTAGCACCATACATATACATGTGTATGCAGTTGTCTACAGGTTTTTGATTCAGTCGTTTATTGACTCATTTGTTGGCTTGCCGTATGTATGTATGCAGGTATGCAATTTTATAGTTATGTAACACGTAACTTATAACTACTGAGGCCATGCAACTACACACTATGCAACGGTGTGACTTCCATATGTACGTGTGCATACACGTGCGTGTTAATTGCGTTGTGTTGGGTGGGAGCACAGCCGAGCGTCGCCAGGGGCAAAAGCAGCTTCGAGATCGCCCACGAACCGGACGGTGCCAAGCAACACCTCCTGCCAAATTGCCGAAGAAGATTCTGATAGATCTGAAAGTGTGGAGTAGGCTAAAGCCAGCAGGAACTGAAGGCATGCTCTGTTGAGACTCTCTAAACATCCACCATGCGTAGCCCAAACCTATTTGGAAATTGAGCTTGCAAGCTCAGTACCACAAACACAAAGAGTTTAATGCGCGCTGGCTCAACTGGTGGCCTTGCTTGCTTGTGGGCCGCCTTTGCCATGAATTTGCACGCGATCACCCACGACAGACATGACAGGATAAACACACTCAGCTTCGGAGTGCACCTGATGAGCAAAATGCTGTCAAGCGAAGTGTAGTCGAGTGGAATCAACGCAACGAGAATATTCAAATTCGACCCTTTGCCCTGTTAGTGACGTAACCCTCATGCCGTACCATTCCTGCATGTGTCGATCATGTCGTCACATTCCCGAAACGAACATCTTCAGCGTTGGGACAAATACATTCGGCTACAGCTCTGTCTGTGGAGCCCCGAAGTAAGCCCAGAATCCAACCCATGTTTCAATCCTTCAATATCCGGCTTCGCGGGTCTCGTTTTCTTAATGCTTTCCATGTAGATTTGAATCACAATCTAAAGCCCGACGGCAGGGCACAACCATACCTGATCGTTACCTTAATAAACTTCGCCGTGCGGCTGCGCTCAGGGAAGCCCTCAAACCGGTTTCGGGTTTGTCAAGTACAAAGCGCCGGATTATGACGCTCCAGGCCGAATGAAATCCCGACCGTCGCACTTCAGGACAGGCGCATTGAAGCACCTCAAAAGTGCAACTGCACGTTACGTTTTTGGGGGAGGGGGAGCTGCCCAGGTACGAAGCGAGTGGAAACAGCAAGCACTCGCATAAAGTGAAGCAAGAGCGCACTCGAACGTGCGAAAGTTGCAGCTGCCCGCTTGCTCGGCGAAACGATTGCCTTCCTCTTAAGACTTGTGCTACGGATTGGTTGCCCGACGATGAGTTTCGCTAGATCTAGCATGTCCAAACAAATGGTACGCAAGTTTTCACCGATATCTCCATGGGCGGCTTGCTGGTGCTCGGGCTCTTTTTGCGTGTGCAGGCCTCGTCGACGGCAGATCTCGGTCCCAGCAAGCAACTACGTTGTTCCAAGAAAGGAAGCAAGAAGATATCACGAAACTGCAGATTCGCAGACTAGATCGACGAGAAGCTGTTCGTTCCTACACTCCAGAAGTTATACAAGGAGCACGCACAACCAGCGAATGTGTTGGCTGTAAGTGGTGTAGTCAGCCAGCCGCAACGTCTGTGCGCACGACTTGGAGGCGCCCCTGGCCGCGGGGAAAGGGTGCGAAGCTACTGCTACTACTACTACACTTACTACTACTACTACTACTACTACTACTACTACTACTACTACTACTACTACTACTACTACTACTACTACTGCTACTGCTTCTGCTACTACTACTACTACTGCTACTACTACTACTACTACTACCACTACTACGACTATTTTCAATTGAACGCTGTGCGAGCGGGCTCAGCACATAGCGGGCGATTGCCGCGGTGCACTCACATGGTGTGAAACTGACTCAGACCCTATAGCTGAACAGCCCTGGTCGAAGACCTTTGGGTGTTGGCGGCCTACAGGCTTCAAGCTAACTGGCAGTGGTCAGCCGAAGCAAGTTGGTAGGCTGCCAGGCATCAAGCTTCAGATTGGTGTGTGTACCTGAGCGAGGATAGTGATTATGCAGCACTAGTTGCAGAGGCACAGTTCTGCGACTGGCAGAAGGCGAGGCATGTTTTTCTCTGACAGCGGCGGCAATCAGCAGAAAGGCCGTCAGTACGTGCCGGAAGAAACGAAGTAGAAGTGCAGGCATGGCCTCCGCATTTCACTGTATAGGTTGCCATTGGCACCGGTGATCAAAGTTGGAGCTCACTGGTGCCAGGAGCGGCTGCCACTGGCCCCCGAGTCCGAGCCACGATTCCACCACCCTCCTCGGGTCCAGGCATCGCCGTCTCTGTAGCGCTTGTCTGTGTGAGACTGTGTCTCTTCACCAGAGCGCTTGTCACGCTGTTCACGCTGCTCACGTAGCTCGCGTTGACGATGCCATTGGTAGGTGGCCGTGTCGCCCTTGTTGTGTTCGATACGGAGCTTGCGGACAACGTGTCCATCCCGAGGCTGGTAGAAGATGGCGCGATTTTGGCCACCACTCTTCCTGGAGGACTGGTCATAGATGCACTTGAAGGTGGAGGCCACGATCTCGAAGTTGTCATCCGTTTCGAGCAATGCGCTCATGTCCGGATGATCCCACATTTTCTGAAAAAGGGCGTGCACTATGCCATAGTAGGTCGTGGTGGACTTGAGCTCGGTGTAGCGATCATCTTGGCCAATGGATAATGTGAATTGGCCATTGGCCCCGACCATAAGCCGCGCTTGCGTGATGTCAAGCCAGTTGGCATCCTTGTCAGTGGCGACCTTCTTGATCGGGGCGAAGATCCATGGCACCTTGCCCAGTGCCCGAAACCTATTGGTCCAGAGGTAGACCTGCTCAGAGGCCGTGAGGCCACCCACTATAGACTTCATAATGGAAATGGTCGCAAAGGCATGGACCCACTCCAGCATCTGGTCAGACTGGCAGATGTGGATAATCTGATCTCGCTTTGGCAGTTGATTTGCCTCTTGCTCTGGAGAGGGGTTGACACTGTACTCCACCAGCTTGGTCGTAGTGACCGGTCCCTGGTATTTGACCTCTGCACGCGTAGAGGGGGCATCCACAGGGGAGGATGATGTGGTGTCAGCCGGGCCTGGGGTCTGCGGGACGGTCTCCTCGGTGGGGGCAGCTGTCGGAGTCACATTCTGGGCTGAGAATGCGTTGAAAGGCCGATCACTTGTCTGGCCAGAGCCAGCAGACTTGTGTGACTGCGGTGTGCTCGCCGGCAGCATCGGAGTATCTGGCGTGCCCACAGTGTCTTCCGCCCATCCCAACGTGGGATCAGCAGTGGCATGTTTCTCATCCTTGATGTCCGCCGGTTGGTCATTGACCCCCTGTTCTTGTTTCACTGCAAGAGGCCGGTGGCCCTGCGCATGTGGGGTAGGACCTGGCGGAATGGGAGGGAGGCCGAGCCCAAGCGTGCCTTAGACACCGACGCTGTGGGTCTCCATTGGGGCGGACGGTCCGCCGTGGGTTCTGGTGGTGGTGGAGCCTGGCCTGACGCTGCGATGGCTGCAGCTGAGGGAGGGTTTGCAGGCTCGGCCGGGCGCTGCGACCACATGCTGTTGCGAGGCGGGGGGCTTGGTGGCTCGGGCACTGATCGGTCGTGCCGGGATTGCATGAAGTGGTGTGTGACTCCCAACTCATTTGGGAACTTCAAGCGCCGACCGCCGCGCTCGCAGTAGCGGCAGGAAAGCCAGTCAGGATCTTCAGGGTGAAGGCAGAGGCCTCGGGGGATGTTGCGAAGGACAGCCTCGGCCGAAATGCCGTGGTACTGCGGCTCCTTCTCGACCGCCGCCATGATCGCGTCAAAATCACCCCGTTCGAGGCTGCTGAGCACGGTCTCGCCGACAACTCTGACGCCTGCATTGGTGAGCATTGCTCCCGCTTGTGCTGAATGGGGTGCTGCAGAGGCAGCGCCACCGGCTTCAATGACCTCCGAGACGATTTGGGGCACGCTCTGCATGAGAGAGTTTTCATTTCTTTGAGCTGCCCTGGGGTCGCCCTTGAAGCCTTTTCGCCAGCTCCAGCAGCGGGTGAATGCTACCCGAACCTGACCGCGGGTCTCAAAGTAGTGACCGTCAGACTCAAGCTCTTTGGACTTGGTGAGCTGAGCTGAATGTCGCTCGCGGAGCAAATACACCGGTCCGAACTGTCGGGTCTGGTTCCATCCTGGCACTGGGGTGTGGCCCATGTCGTGCGTGAGGAGCTTCCAAAGTTCCTTGCAGAAGATCATGTAGTCCAGGTTGGCGACCGAGGCAAGAATTTGCCTGCTGAAAGCGTGATTGATAGCGCAGAGCATGAGGGGATGGCGCGGTTGTCCATAGATGATGCCCTGGAAAATGTGGTCATTTTTGACCCCAATGCCCATGATCATGTACTCCCTGGGCAGAACCCCTTCCACTCCATTTGGGCAGTGCCCCAGCTCTTTGCTCTTGCGAACTTGGACATTGTCCCATTCTGAAGCGATGAGCCCTAAAATTTGATCGAAGGGCATTCGCAGCGCCATCTTGATATCAAGGTACAGGCCACCATGATAGTAGTGGTAGACGTACCTGAAGACATCAGCCTTGTGAGCAGGCTGCCTCAAACTTTTGATCAAGTGTTCTCCGCTGTCTCCAGCGTGCACCTGAAGGGTCTCGAGCAAAATCTCGTCATTGCAGAAGGAGCGCTCGAAGTCAGCCAGGAATTCCCGGCACATGCTTTTGGGACCCGGGTGGTCATCGTGCATGTATGTCTGAAAAAGAGTGCGGGGCATTGGCCGGCGACTGACGTAGGGTTCCAGGAAGGGTCTGAGGGCCCATGCCTTGCCCGTGTGTCGAGCAGCCACCGCACCCACCTCAGACAGTGTCTCCGAGCAGCACAGGTCGAATGTGGCGTTCATCTCCTTGTGGGCATTGTCCCCCTGGCAGTTCCATGAGCACACAACCAGAACATGGATCGCATTTGGCTTCAGTCGCCGCATCGTTTGAATTGAGCGGGATACCAGCAAGCCAATGACGTGATCCGCCACCGTCGGTCGAAAGTGACAGTTATTTTGGTTGTATATTTGATCAACCAGGGGAGGAGGGCCTTGGAGGCTCATGATGGTCTCATCGCTGAGCTCGTACCGTCCCAGGCCATATTGATCCCTGAGCTCCGCGATCCAGTCGTAGCCCTTCTGCTTATGGGGTAATAAGCTTTGTCTGATGGGGATCAGGCGCACGCTAACCTCGTCATAGTAGTGATCCCGGAGAAAATTGATCAAGGCAGGGCTTTCCGCCGGGAAAGGTCGCGTTTCTCCAAGGACGCGGATGAATTGCCAGGCCAGTACCTCCAACACCGCTGGGTTGGGTGGCTGCGCACCCGCGTACTCTGCTGTGAGAGTGGTACCCTGGCAGGAGATGACGTAGCCGTGCATTGCACCCCGAACCATGTCAATGATTCCGTAGGATTGGCCATTGGCCCCCTGCCAGAGCAAGTGTTGCAAGGTGCTGTCACTGAGCACCAAGAAGGGCTTCGGCGTGGTCGGTGTGGCTGCCATGCCCAGTTGCCTGTGCTCTTTGAGCACCGCGCCCTTACCAGGCTAAGGGAAAGTGAAGTGGTGAGGAACTGCGCAGGAATGTCAGAACTGTAGCCTAGGGCAGAGCATGCTGTAATATTCAAAATTCTGAGCCCTGAGCCTTCTGCTTTGTATGTGGTTATGCTTGATGCCTTCAGTGATCTTGAGCCCGGCGGCGCAGCAGGAAAGCTGCAAGTGCATTCACGCTGAGGCAGCGCTGCAGAGTGAGCTTGGCTTGTGCGAGTGGGCAGGGGCACTGGTCCGGCCATGCCAGAAGGTCGGCGTCAGCAGGAGCCGCCTGAGGGCATCGTCGGACCTTAGAGCGATATGCCAGCATCAGTAGCAGTAGACATGAGCGATCCGTGTGTCGCGCGCTGGCAGAAAAGAGCTGTGTGTGTCTGCTGTCTTTTCAGGTCACCGAGCCGTCAGGGGGGGGTGTCGGCAGCTGAGGCTGTTGGTCAAAATTTATTGAGCTATTGGACGTGCTTCAGTCCGGCTCAGAGAGGGCGTGCAGCAGCCTCCGTAGCTTGAGCTGAAAGCCTGCTGGGCATTGCCCCCATGCCAGCGCATTGCTATACATCAGCTGTGCTGCCGTTGAAAGCTAGAGGAGCTTGTAGCTGTGCGACGTACCTCGAAACCTGAGTACTTCAGGTACAGAGCGGAATGCGCGGAGAGCTTGTCCGCATCTCGGATGTGGTAAGTACCGAGTATGAGTCTGCGTCCCGTCCATGGCAGTACTAGGTGTCGGCGTGAGGCATCAAAACTAAGGTAGGGCAAGGTCACGGGGAGAACTTGTCCTCTGGGTCCGTCGGAGTCCAACAGGTAATCCCCGGCGCTGTCCTCCACGAAGAGGTGGCCGCCCTCGAAGTTGGAGAGAGGGATCAGGATGTTGTTCACCCCTTGTTGATTGTTGTCGGTATGCAAGCCAGAGGCCATATTTCGTGCCAGGAATAGAGTCGTGCGTGGATGGCGTCCGGCCATGGTGTGCACAACCGTGTTGAGGAGACACGTCGCCATCGGAAACCGATGCGTTGGTGTCCTCAGACCGGCCATTGGCCCCTGCTGGTATGCGCCGAATGTGACAATCCGCTGGTCAGCAGACTGTGGCAGTGCCACCGATGCATTGCGACAGGCAGAGGTGGTAGGCATAGTGTCCAGCAGGGCATCCAGTTGCTCGAAGGTGACCCACCTGCGATGTAGGTAGTCCGCCGCGGCCTGTTCGACTGCACATAGGGTGAATTTGTGCTCCATTTCATCCATGTCAGGAGGGAGATGTAGGCATATGCCTGGTGCCTGCGCCTGTGGAGCGTATAGGCTCAGGGCTGAACAGACTGAGCCCTGTCGGTCCTCCTCTTGTGCCGCGTCCTCGTCAGTCGTTGGAGAGGTCGACCGAAGGATGCTTTGAGCCGTTGGCATCGTGAGTGTCGGGCGACGGCATTTGCGTGCCGGTTCGGGGACCTCCTCGTCAGATTCGTCCAGGTCCATGGGGATACATCCCGAGCTGCTACGGAGCCTCCACATCGCTAGGGGCAGCTGTTTGGCCTGAGCGTCCAGACCATCTATCTGGGTCTGAAAGCCGACAAGTGTGAACAGGAATGATGGTATGAGAGGGTAACAGCCTAGTATCCGGTGGCAGATCCCAGCTGATTCTGCATTGGCGAAAGCATCACACTCAAACCGTCGCTCTGTTTCAATCCGAACTGCAACATGTGCAGCAACGTCGTCTGAAAAAGAAAATTGCCGTGATGATGTACAGCGGCGTGTGAGCCGACAGGCTCGTGGAGAAAGGAGAAAAGAGTTGAGTACCGGCCGATACAGCTCTAGCACGACATTGTCGCCATCGGGATGACATGTGCGGACATTGTCCCAGCTGCGTTAGGGCGGTGGGGGTCTCGGGAAGGGGCACTCTTCCAGGAAGCGATCTGGGTAGGCCTGCATATCCCCCGCGACTCCACGCAGCAAGTCCGCGGCAGTGTGAAGGCTTCGAGACCAATCCTCGATGGTGTTTTTGCGAGATCCTGGTTTGGGAGTCCTTGCGAGATCTCGAGCCACAAAGGCATCGCCAGACTGGAGCATGTGGCCCTTGGTGTCGAAGGGGACATCGCTGCCTCCTGAGGCTGCCATCGCTCGGAATCTGGCGTTCGGGTCGTAGACCTGAGCTTCCTTCATGACTATGTTAAAAGGAGGCGCTGATTCCGGTGGGTCAAAGGTAGCCTGCATGGGCTGGGGCGGGGGCTGGCGTTGGGCAGAAATTGTCTGCGAGGGGTCTGGGTCCTCCGCAGGGCGGGCGGGAGGTTCTCCCCAGATACCTGGCAGCTCGGTAGCAGCACGTGGGGGCTCCCGCTGCGGATTCGCTGACCCTTTGGCAGCTGGGACAGCTTCCATGGCGGGTCGGTTCACAGGAGAGGTGGGAGATGCAGGCGATGCCTGCATCAGAGCAGAGTGGGCCTTGCCCCCGCTGTGGGATGCTGGGGTTGTCAGTGACACCGCCTCTTCCTTCGGCTCGATTGGCTTGTTCGGAGGCGGAGGAGGGGGCTTGTCCAGCACCAAGTAGCCATCCTGGTTGGAGTAGGATTCCCAGGGAAAGATCTCTTGGTATACATACCGGAGATGGCGGCCACATGTCCTCAATTCCGTAGAAAGGTAGAACTTGGCCCAAACAGCAGACTTTTCCCAGGAGCCAAGGCCAGGTGAGAGATCTGACGGATCGGACTTTTCCGGAACCAGTGAGCCGTTGTTGTTGCCAAACTTGTCGTCTGATCTGGCAAAGGTGGCGGTATCTGTCCGGAGCTCCCCGTTGGCTCTCAGCATGCACAGTGACCGCGGGGTTGAAGGCAGAGTCCGTCCAGGAGCCAGCAGGGAAGGGGGAGTTGGGATAGATGGGCTGTGGCCATTGGTCCCGCTCCAGCCACAGTTGCAATTCGCGCTTCATGTGGCTAGGAATTCCTCTGCTGACTCCGTCATTGACTCCGCTGCCCTTGCGTCGTTTGGTAGGCTCCTCATCCGACAGGAACTGTTTGAGGATCGTTTGGCTCAGCCGGTAGAAATCCCCATGCGCCGTCCGGACCGGGGCGGGTGGAGCTTCTAGGGTTGGTGGACGATGTAGATCGCCTCCATATCCCTTGGCGCCGTAGCCATTATTCAAGGGGTAGATGGCCTCGCCCGAGCAGCCGCCATAGTCAATCAGTACGAAACTGGCCGGTTGGTGCCGGACCATGATGTTGTCCGCGCGCACGTCCCCATGAACGATTTGGGCTGAATGCAGCATCTGCAGTGCAGCCGCGATGTCAAATTTGAGTCGCTGGACTGTGTCCCCGGTGAGAGGGCGGGGAGCTGACCAAAGGCGCGGCATGAGTGCCCTCGGGCCGTCTGCCGCGTAGATGGTGTTGATCACGGAGAGAGGCGGAAGTCTGGTAACACGATGCAATTCTTTCCGAAAGTCTGCCTCGTGCTCCACCTTGACCTGTTTGATGACAAAGTTGGGGTCCTCATGAGACAGGTGGACTGTGCTCGTGTGGCCTCTTCCCACTGTCTTGCCGACCGTGCCCTTCAGGAGGCTGATGCAGGCAGCCGACGTGGGTCCCGCTAAGGTGCAGGGGGTAGGGACTCGTTGCACGGTTTGTGCGTGGTCCGTCATTGCTGCCACAATAGCCGTTGCCATGCGATGGGGGTCCTGGTCTAGACCCAAACGGATGTGAAGGCTGTCCAGGGCCGTAGTGTCAGAAGGAGCCGCCATGTGCGAAGCGGAATGGAGCGGCAGAGTGCCGGGCCTTTGACTTGATCCTTCTGTGTTTAGTCGCATGGACGCAAGCACAGTATGGAGGATCTGACTGCCCTCAGCTTGCATTATTTATGAGCGATCCTGTAAGTTGCAAAACTTTTTCCATCCTAGCAGCGTGGTGCAGGAGGTCATTGACCACCTTCAGGGTTAGGGCCGCTCATTGTGCGCACCCGAGTCTCAGAATGGCATTGTCGCTATTTGTGGATCTTATTCACCATGTTCTGGCGCTTCTTCGGTGAGCGAGGTGGCGTAGGTGGGCGTTGACGGCCCGACGGCAATGATGTAGCAGTTGGCTCTTTAGTCTGCACGGCCCGTTCCTTGTCGCCTGAGGTTGCCGAGGTCGCCGCTGTTGTGGTAGGTTTGTCCAGGCCGAGCTCGCGGATTTTATCCCATTGGGCAACGTAGTAGTCTAGATCAATGTGACTCTGCAGCCCTGGCATGTTGGGCGGCAACGAGGCTGGAAGGGACTCAGAATGCGATCTGGCAATTGGAAAGGCTGCGTGGCACTAAATTAGACGCTGCCTAGCACATGCCAAACAATGGCAGATCGCTGCAATGATGTGAACACGGCGCAAGGTCAGTGTTTTTCCACAGGCGTGGTTGCCTGGTTGCTTGTCATTGTGCGCAGGAGTGATACAGCTTATGGCTGACAGTGCACTCCAGGAACAAGGCAAATTCGAGCATTGCTCCTGCGAAAGATAGAGATTGTTCTAATTGAGCTAGGCCATGTCCAGCTGCTGCCATTGGCACCTCTCCTTCAGCCAGCTTTGCCTCTCGCCTTACGAGCCAGGCCACCAGGGGCCTTTTTTCCGAGGCGCTCTCCTTCATAGGAGTCCAGGAGGGCCGCAATCAGCGAGGTGTACTGCGCAAGCGGGGAGTGGAGAACCGGTCGGAAGTCCAAGATAAGATGCGTCTTGAGAGCGTTCTGTCGAGCCGAGCAGTGCGCGACCAGATGAATCACAGCCTCATGCGGCGATTCGCCGAAGTCCTCGATCAGCTTGATGAAGGCCTTGAACTGTGCAGTGTCAATGCCTGGTGGCTTTTGTTGAGACTGGGCCAGCTGGACGAGCATTGCTCCCGCTGTAAAGTGTGCACATGAACCCAGTGGGTGCGCTTTCCCTGGCGTGTGGCCTTTCTGCCACGCGGCCACGGCCTTTGCTAGGGCCTGTGCCAGGGGGGCGTCCGTGGGTAACTTGTACACCAGCGAGGCCTGGAGTTGTAGTAGGGCAAGCTGTTCTTCATGTAGTAGGAAGCCTTGAGTGAGCTCGGCGTTGGAAAGGGCGTGCAGGGCCCTGCCTGGCCGCTGCTTGCCGCTGCCGGTCGCTTGGCGTCGAGCATCGACACCAAAAGACTCTGACGGTTCGCCCATCAGTGAATCTGAAGCTAGGGGAGATGTGGTGCGACCACGTTTGTGGTCTGGGCTGTGGATCTTGTCAGCCATGCTGGGTCAGCCTGAAAAAGCTGCGGGTAAGCCTGCGCATGCCTAAAGCATGCTTGGCCTTGACGTGGGGGGGGCCATGCCCACCTATTGTGGGGTCCGGCCTTCCCACGCACAGGCACCCTAGTGGTGCACGCATTCCTAGACTGGGAGGGCCAGCACTCACCCCTTGAGGGTGAGTCAGAGTCACTCCTGTCTTCTCAAGAAAAGGAGGTAACAATCTTCCAAAACATGTTTGCGTTCTGAGGTCGAGGCGAGGTGTGGGCTGGTGGCATCATCACCAACGTATAGCGCACCTCCATGCGGATGGATCCAGAAAGACCGGTAATGGCCGGAGTGGATTTCCGCTCCTACATGAAAAACCCCCGAAATGACTGAAAAGTGGTGCCACTGGCGGTCCTGACCCTCCGTCCAAGTCGGCAGTGAGACTTGCCTGCGCAGGTCTATCGGGGTGCGTCGTTTGGTGCCGTCCATCCATCGAGCAACTGTGACGGGCAGGATGTCTGGGGCCCATGCCAGGGCGCGTTGGAACATGTGGTTGTACCATGCCATGCAGGCCTGCTGCAGTGAACGACAGTCCGAGGAAAGAGGTAGCAGCAGCGGCGTAAGGCCATCGTCTTCGCTTTCTGGCAGTCCATTAGTGCGTCCCTCCCAACGCACGGGTTGTAGGGTTCCGGTGTGATGTTCTAGCAGACTCGTGACAAATTCAGAGGTGTCGTGTTGTCTGCCATCAAAGCGCCATCTAGGCACTAACGACCGGAGGGCAAAAAGGCTTGGGGGGTTGATAAGCCTAGTGTCCATTGGATCCGCCTCTGGGCTAATGCAATGTTCGACCAGTGGTCCCAATTCTGCTATGTTGGACGCAGAGTCAAGCGCGGCTAGAAGGGCTTGTATGGTCGCATTGACATAGCAGGTATTGCCTGAGTTCATCATGCGCCGCATGCGTGAGTACAGGCCTGGTGGGAGATGTCCCTCGGCGGTGCTCGCCGTCGCCGTGGGGACCGTGGTGGAGGCAGCGGGAGTAGCAGATCGGTCCGCCGTCCCGAAGAAGCCACTGAGGGACATTGTCACCGCGGTCTTTGGTTGAGGCTTGGAGCATTGTTCCCGCGTTTTGTCCTTACCCTGGACCTTGTGCCATCCGAGCAGGACCTGGAACAGAACTATGCACTGTTCTGGGTGCTTACGTTTGTCGTAGACCTGCAGTTTGCAAAAGGGACATGGGTGTCCTTTGATCATCTGCACTGTGTAGGCCTGGCAAAGCTTGAGTGCCGCCGGACCATCTCGCTGCCAGACCTGTGCATGAGCCTGTCGTTGATGATTTTTCATCTTGGTATGGTCGGGGGTCCAGAATCCGCACAAGATGCACCTGTTCTTGAGTTCTTGAGCTTCCGGTCGGGAGGCTATGCTGCTGAGCTTGTCTTTTGGCGAACTCTGCACCGTAGCCCGAAGGGCTGCTAAGCCTCTGAGAGCTTGGCCTTGCAGCTGTTCCTCGGTGGTGAGAGAAAGCTGGCGCAGGCGTTCCGGTTGCGTACAGGCTCCCGACAACAAGTGGTCGCGTAGGCCCTTCCATTGATGGAAGGCCTTGTCGCATGCGGAACATACTGGTAGACCGTCCCTGGAGTGCCGACTACGATCAAAGGAAGGAGGAATGTACCTCTTTACTTGATCACGATGCATCCGTGTGATGTGCATATGTAGACCATGCGCAGAGACAAAGCCAGACGCACAGTGAGGACAGTCGTGCAACCGCTGCTGCGAGGCCTCGGTGCTCGCCGGAAGATTGTCCACCTCGCGTAGTATGTCCTGTAAGTCCTGTAGGACATGTCCCAGACACGTGACATCACCGTACACTGCCATGTCGGTAGGGTTCGAGCCTGTGACCGAGGCCGTCGCGTCAGGACGCAGTCTGGCCCACGGGCCCAGCTGCACCGTAGGTGCACTGGAAGTAGTCATCCGCTGGACGGAAATGTCAGCCTCGGGGGTAGGGATGTCGGGTCGTTTGCTCAGTCTTTTTAGTCGCGAAGCCATCCGGGCTCGGATTTTTGCCACCGGGTCCTGAATCGAATGCAGCTGATATAGGTCAGCTGTGGAGATGCGGCTGACATGGACAGGCTGGTTAAGCACGGAGCGTAGCTTGTGTGCATACCAACCTCGGAGATGCCTGGCTGTTTCCTCCGTGAGGCCGACTTCAGGAAGTCCTGTGACCAGAGTGGCCCATACGGTGGTGAACCAAACCTTCAACCTGGCCATTGGCCCTGCAGTTCTGCGGGCGTGGAGGCCTTGGCAGTGCCTCCGGCTGACACCTCTCGCGTAAGCACAAAATCAATTTGTGTGCGTGTATCCCCCTGTTGGTACGTAAATAATGGCTGAGGTCGCCACGTGTTGAGGGCCACCAAGCGATGACTCAACAGGAAGTTGGTGAGCTCTGGTTCATCAGGTCGCGGTTCCTGTGGGCTTATAAGCTCTGGACCTACCAGCCTAGGCTGCTTTTGCAAGGAGCTATTGAAATCACCTGCGATGATAAGCGTGTCTCGGTGTGGCACCCTTTGCACACATCTGCCAAGAGCTTTTAGGACCTGTGCCCTGTCCTGACGATTGTTCTGCACCTGTTTGGCCGGTGACCAAACATGTTGGTATACAGCAATCAGGTGGATGCGGGCCCCGTGCCAGTCAAACCTGACTTCCAGGGTTCTGCCTATGACATGTTCCTGCCATCTCACACCTTTAGGTTGTATGTGTGGGGACAGAAAGACCATTACTCCGTCCGCGCGGGTTGTCGAGGGTTCCTTGCGGGGCGGATGGGTCTTGTCGTCATTAGGCATTGCCTCTGCAGGTGGCTGTATGTGGGCCTTGCCCCCGCGTTGTTTGCGTCTTGAGGCTTTCGGATCTGCAGCAGAGGCAGACGAGATGCAGTACCAGCCTGCAACACTAAATTCAGCCGTAGCCTGCCAGTGGGTCTCCTGCAGCACAAGAACATCACAGGTGTGACGTGCCTCAGTGGAAAGCCATGATTTGACTTCCGACCATTGTTGCTGGCCAAGGTGGCCTGCATTCCAAGACAGTACACGGAGGGGCCTGGTGGCCTGTCCTGCTCTAGACCGTGGTGCGAAAGACTGAGTGGAACCTGGCCGCGGTGGGCAGTTGCCCATGCGCCTGAGAAGAGCAGGGGTCATGACCTGACCTCGGTAGGAAACGGGTTGCTGGCTTGCAACCACCTTTCTGCAAACATGCTTGAACGAATTCTTCCTGATCTGAGAATAATTTTGTGAGTGCACTGGGAGCAGCGCCATCCGCTATTTCGTCACAAGGCAAGCCGAGTGACTCCCTCCACCACGCGGTTAGTGGAAACCCTACCGCCTGCCCAGTGGGCCCGTGTTAAGACAGGGTACTGGGTCCAGGAATTGGGACCTGGCGGCTCAGACGCAAACTGTTGGCACATGGCACATGGCTCAGCGTGAGGAACCAACCCTTAGTCGTTCAGAGAGGGGCCTGTTTGAGACCTCTAGCAACGCAAGGT